CACATTTGCTTCCCAGGTTAGTGTTATTATCGTAAATCCATATTTATATGTCTTCTACTACTGGTCCATAGTTCCAAATCTCAACAATGATTATGACCACCAAAACAACAATCTCAAAAGAGTTATGATCATCAAAAGATTAATCTCAAAAGAGTTATGAGCATCAAAACAACAATCTCAAAGATTAAAGAATCTAAGTGAAGCAAATTGTATAATTATGGGTGGCAGCCCAGGGGCAAACGCCTAGCATGGGTCGATCCCAATTGGTATAGAAGGGTGGTAGCCCAGGGTAAAATGCCTAGCATGGGTCGATCCCAATTGGTATAAGAGGGTGGCAGCTCAGGGGCAAAAGCCTAGCATGGGTCAATCCCAATTTGTGGAATTATGAGGACAGCATCCCAGGGGTTAAAATGCCTAGCATGGGTCATCCTCTTCTACCGCTGATCAGCTGGTCATTTGTATCTTGTGTCTTATAAATATTATAATGCAAAGAAAAGTAAAGAAAAGAATGTAACATACACGATTCCGCAAGTATAAGCAAATGTGGTCTCTAATCCTTATTTATTGCTATTTGGTTTCACTTGAGTTCTCATTTTACATATATTTGTATTATGCCTTACATATTCAGTACATTCTTTCATACTGATGTCCCTTATTGGGGATGTTGCATTTCATGCTGCAGGTACATGTACTCAACTAGTAGATCTCCCCAATAGAAACACATGATACTCAGCGGTTGTTGGTGAGCTCCAGGTTGATTCGGGGCTTTGCCGAGTTTTTACTATGCGTATTTCATAGTGGTACAATCATGTATTCCAGTAGAGACTTTGTAGACATTGTAAAGCTATCATCTCTATTCATAATTTCACTTGTCACATGTATCGGTTCAACTAGTCAATATGTGTTGTATATGAAGATTCTCATTAGTAAATCTATCTGCATAGTAGTTTACTTTCTAATCACAGATCACTTGTAAATCATGTATTCATATGGTACTTTTCCGTCTTACCTAGGGTTGGGGTGTGACAAGTGGAAATATTGCTCCAATATTTTGGGTTTTGCTGTACAATAGACCTCCCTAAGTAGTTACCTTTTACCACTTGTGGCAATCAAGGTAAAAATGAAGCACACAAGACCATTATTCAGACTCTTCCAATAGTTATATGCTGGAACCTTTAGAAAAATAGATGTTCAGCCAAGTATGGGGGAAAGATATCTAACATTAGCTTAGTTAAATATTTGATCATCAAAGACATGTTTCTGCTTTTCAGATCTGTATTTCCATATATTCAGCGGCCAATAAAGTGGCCAGAAGTTGTTGACATGTTAGAACAGAGTAAGCATGAGGTTAGAATAATCCCTGTGATTTGGAAAACTCCCTCTTTTTCTAGGTATAAACTTAATACTGATGGTAGTTCTTTACACAATCCAGGGAAGATTGGAGAAGGGGGAGGGGTATTCTGAGGGATTCTAATGGGGCTATTATTTATGCTTTTGCTATACCTTTGGGTGAAGGGACCAACAATCAGGCCGAAGTGCAGGCTGCCAGTTATGGGCTCAACTGGTGCATCCAACAAGGGTATAAAAACATTATTTTAGAAGTGTATTCTGAATTGCTAACTAGATGGTTTTTGCAGATTTCTGATCCTCCTTGAAGGATTTGCAGGTTGGTGCAGGAGCTTAAAGATTTAGCTAATCAATGTGATCTTTTCCAATGTGTTCATACCTACAGAGAAGCTAATAGTACAACAGATTTCTTGTCTAAACAAAGTCATAAGCCGGATATCATCCAACATTATTGCTGAGAAGGATTAAAATTCCTCCTTGATTTTTTGTCTTTCATATCACAACACTCCTTGAATTTCTGTTTTGATTGCATCTTCACTATGTTTTGCTTAGTTTGGTCGTTTGATTAGGAACATGAATCCAGATTATTGTTATCAATATGCATTCCTCCTGAGGATTACATTATACAACCCAAAATAAGTGCTACAGAAGGGAATTTTGCAGATGTAGGAAGCACATTGAGTTATGATGGTTTTCCAAGAAGATGGGGCTATACTCTGCCTACAAGTAGCTGTGGAGAGTTGATCCAAGTTGTATTTTCAAAGCCACCAGTAAAGCAGATGCAATGCCCAAGCAGAATCACAAACTAGAGAACTTCTAATAGCTACACTCATAGGAAATGCCAAGTACAGTAAGATGATATCATAAAAATTCCTGGACAATTTGATTCATGAGACATCTTTTCAAATTTAACTATATCTTTAGGTATAGTTGTTTGATTAGGTCTAGTTTTTATTCTCTTCTTGTAAGGGGAGAGTCTCATTTATTTATGTATTATTAGTAACTTTGTATTAAGAGAGGAGTCCTCTCTAGGTGCTTAGTATAATATTACATCTTACTGTATAGGGTTGAGTCGACTAACCTTAGTAGGTAGGTTGATTCTTGACCCACCTTAGGATTGAAGGTAAGGTATATGTCCCCCTCCTTGTATATTTTTTGGAATTATATATGATAAGGGCTGGGGGTGTTGCTCAGCCCCTGACCTCCTAAAGGGTCGTTAATAAAATACAATAAAATAAAACCCTAAATTCTAAATCCTAAACCCTAAACCCTAAACCCTAAACCCTAAACCCTAAACCCTAAACCCTAAACCCTAACCCTAAACCCTAAATACAAAACCCTAAACTCGAAACCCCATTGCTTCCCCATTTCCCAATTTTTTTCTCTCTCTAATTTCCCAGTCTACGGAACTCTCTCTAATTTTACACAGCAATTACAGCTCCAATGTCTAGTTCACCAGCCAGAATGGCGCGTGAGCCACCGGTGAGCCTCTTCAGGCCGCCGGAGCGCCCTGAGCAGATGAACAAAACCCACCAAGCAGCATCACCTAATTCATCCTGCAACTCCACGAATTCGCGAAATACAGAGGCGATCCATATCGCGATTTCTGAGATGGAGCTGGACGAGATTCAGAAAATCATTTCCTCAGATCGGGATAAATTGATTCATCGAAGGCTATTTAGTGGGAATGATCCTACTAATCAAGGGCTACAACATACTCAAAAATCACATGATTCCATCGCGCCAATTAGGAGATCTGGTGAGACGATTTCTGGGAATTTTGACGCGAACTCACCTGAACTGCGCCTCCAGATTCGTCCAACTTCCCATCAATTTCATGGTGATTTAACCACTGGGTATTGTTCACCTGGTGAAGAGGTACATCCCACAACAATCTCAGGTAAAACGGCCGGTCAAATCACCGGCGACATGAATTCCGGTGAGCAGGCAGTCGAAGGGGAAAATGGCGCCACTAGGGGCGAGTGTTCACTGGATGAGGAGGTCCACCGGACCAACATATCCATCAATTTAACTCAGAAGCACAGCCAGAATGAGATTCCAACAAGTTTCATAAACTCTACAATCAATCCACAAAATGAGCTTGAAGAACTCAACTGCAGAATGGAAGAACAACAGCAAGAATCTTTTTCCCAGGATCAAGCTGGGCCAAATGGTCAAAAACATGCTCACAATGCTATAGAGAAACAACAAATAGAGATGGAATCTCCACAAGTAGTTAAGTGACTATATCAGGGCCAAAATGATCGGCAGGACAATACAAGTTCTACTAACTTGGAAGTCATTGACGTGGAGAATTCTTCACATTTCTCTTTTGGAGTGAAACTTATGGACACGATTCCCAGCAATGGAGGACAGCAAGGACCAGGTATGATTCCTAAGTATCATAATGTCCCTAATCATGTCTACTTGCAGGAACGACAGCAAACAAATGCCACTTCATTAGGCAAAAACCCAAGTGTGGAGAGCTCCCAGACAGGTAAGTCCTCTCATTCTAACTCTAGTAGGAATGTTATTAACTTGAGTAGCAGTGATGTCCTTGTTAATGATAATGCTAATGGGCAAAAGAATAGTATGAGGGAAGAGCTGGAAAAAGGCAGGGGAGACACCGAAACACAACAACAAGGTAATCAACATCTAAGTAGTGTGCGGGATAAAAAATTATCTCAAGCACCTGATCCAAGAGGGAATATTGAACCAAATAATTATCATAAGGATTTCCCAAACTATCTAGCAACTTTGATAGACATACCACCTCCAATCAAAAGAATCAGCAAATAAACCAGCTCAACCATTCCAAAGAACCCTGCAATCCTAACGAGATCCAGAATACCAAACAGAATCAGAGTGTTGAACCTGCTCCTTATACTGTGGTACAAACTTTAGCTGCTAGGCTCAGACAAATCCACGCTACTCAGATCAGTTCTATAGAACTTGTTCCTCCCAGACACACTACTAAACGGGGTCAACCTGCTGTGATCTACGATATGGATGATTTCATGAACAAATTAGCAGTGGACTGTAAATATACTCTTATAGGTAAATTCAGCAACACTATGCCTAAGATAGAACTCATCAGGAAGAGCTTTATCCTACAAACTCAGTTGAATGGGGGGGTCAATATTGCTCATTATAATGCTAGGTATGTGTTTATTGATTTGCAAAATGAATTGGACTATAACACTGTATGGACACACAAAGAATGACCAATCGAGGGCAAACTCATGAGAATACAAGCTTGGACTCCCAACTTCAGACCTAAAAAAGAAACACATATTGTTCCTATATGGGTACTGCTACCAGGTTTACCTTGGCACTGCTTCAAGAAAGAGTTCATTACTCCTCTGCTGGAATCTGTGGGCAAAGTTTTATACTTAGGCACAGCTTCCATTAAACGAACTCGAGAAAGTATGGCCAAGGTGAAAGTCCAAGTAGACCTCACCAAGCCTAGACCTTGACATGTTTGGATTGGACTGGATGATGAAGACCTCACCATAGGGAGATGGCAACCAATTGAATACGAATATATCCCTCCATATTGTGCATACTGCAAACATCAAGGTCACATGATAGGGGACTGTAATTTCAAAATAAGGGATGAGGATTTCCAACGAAGAAAAGAGTTAGGTGCAGAAATGAAAAACATAAATCAGGGTGAAAAAGGGCAACAAGGAACTGATCACAGACAAGTCAAGCCAAGGGAACAAGAGGAACAACAACAACAAAACACCAAGGAAAGGAGCAACCAGCAGCCACCTGAACAACAAAAGGAAGCAGAATGGCAGATGCCAAAAAGAAGAAACAATAAACCACAGGAGGAGAAAACACAGAAGGCAGTGTGGCGACCAACCTCACCACAGAACAAAGTGTCAAAAGAACAACCACAACCCACAGTTCAACAAACAGGTATAAATAACAACTCTAATCATAATTCTTTTACTAACCTTAACATGCAGGGAAAGCAGACTGAAGACATCTAGGGGCATAGAAACAATGAGAGGAAAACACCACAAGGAACACAAAGCAGGTCTAAAACAGACCACAACCAAAAAACACAGGCCATGCAAACAGGAAAACAAACAAATAACAAGAGCACATGTATTGACTCAATGCTCCCAATCCCCATAAACCCCAATACTTCTTATCCTAATGACATTGTTGAAGTTGAAGGAGGGATGGATGAGGGAAGTCAGGAGATACATTCTAACATCCAGGAAAGGGTATCCAAAGGGGGGAATTTGACTCATGTTCTGCATGAGGGAGTACACACTGACCACAATCCTGACTTTAGAGCCTCTGCAACCCCTATACCTCACCAGGCCATGACAAAACAACAACAGAAACTGCAGCAAAAAAAGACAGAAACTACTTAGAATACAAAAGAGCAACAGGGTAACACTACTGAAAAAGGGCAGAAGAATAATGAACAGGCCAATGAAATACGTGAAACTGAAAAATCCAAGCAATAGGCTGACAAAGGGAAGAATGACAATCAAAGAGGGGCAGCTATGGCAAAAGATATGGGGTCCAAATCTAGCACTAGCAAACAAGGGACCACCCCTAAGAGCAAGAATAAACCTAGTAAAAAGAAGAGGGAAGCAACTAAGATGAAATTAAATGCACAACAGGGAAATGATCAATATCAACAAGAGGAACAGACCAACCAGGCCAGCAATTGTGAGAGGTTTATTATGGTGGATGATCTGCAAGGTATGGATATCCCTCCCCTCCAAACTCAGTACCTGACTCCTCCTCCTAAGGCTCCTCTAGACTTAACAGCAGCATGTAAGGTCAACTCAGTGCCAGCTATTGATGAATATGATGTGGAAAACTCTGAAGATGAGCTAGATAGGGATAATCAATCCTTACAGGAACAGGAGGATGATGATGAGATTAGTGAGCTGTTGATTAAAGCTTTCAGTCCTCATAATGTCAATGATCTAGAAGAGGAAATACATCAGGTAGCAAGTCAACAAGGATTATCACCAAGGGGACTTCACTATGACAGGTTCCAAACTACCAAAGGGCAAAGTCCTATTTCTGTCACTGCAGGCAGACCAAACACCAGGCTCTTTACATCCAAATCCTCTCAATGATCTGTACTCTTATATGGAATGTAAGGGGGATTAACACTCAAGGTGTTATGGAAAGACTTAAAATGCTCAAGAAAATGCATCATATTTCTCTTATAGCTATTCTGGAACCACTACACCATTTTAGGCCTACGGCCACCCCAGTAAAGTGTAACCTAAACTAGCAAAAAGTGTGGCCTTTGATAAAAGGCAACACTTTTGGACTTTAAGCAACGCTTTTTAGGGGGTGGCCAAAACCAGCGTAACCTTTGACATTAGGCCACGCTTTTGAAATGTCGCCATAGCAGCTACACTTAAAAAGCGTGGCCAAAGAGGTATAAAGGGCACGCTTTGTAGTAATTCATTAGCAACACCTTTTGTTTGATTATACTACAGTTAAAAGTGTGGCCTTTGCTTTGTTATTGGTCACATTTAAAAAGTGTTGCTTTCTATATCTCACGTAGAACAACACTTATAAAGTGTGGCAATGTTGTGTAGAATTTTTGTAGCCACAATTTTTCATTTTTAAGAAGAATAATTTTTATTTGCATATATTCAATAATCACATAATTAAAAATATAAGTGATCTAAAGAGAAAAATTAGCTAATAAATAAATCAAAGCTATATATTTCGAACAAGCATCGAAAATCATATCTTGTACAACCAATACTTAGAAAGTGATTGCTTAAAGATCTCTACTATCAATAAATTCCACAAAATCTAATGAATTCAAACAAATATGACAATAGTACAAAAACTCTTCATCGTTCAATACAATAGATCGAGTTTACTTCTGGCTACTATTCAAATTCAATTACCGGCATTTTCCTGCACATTCAAAATAAAATTAGAAGTTAGTGAAATAAATCATGTATTTAATATGCTCAACACTAGTCATTTTTAACAATACTTCCCAGCCCCTTCCCAATGTAGTGGTATTGTTATGAAAAATAGGACTCTTAGTTCCTATTAAAGCATGTATTTCATATGATAATAAGATGTCACAGTAAGTAACTACAATACAATCCATAAATGTTGCAAAGAAATTGTGCACACCTTCTCGTAGTTGTTGAATATAGCTGGAAACAAGAAAAAGAGGAAACCAAATTTATGGTGAAACGATGACCAGTTAGCAAATACTTAGACAAGCTTCAAATGAAAGTACACCTGCCTATACATTTTCATTTTCTTGTTTATTTTTTCTTTAGTGCTGAGTGAAGTACAATTTAAACTTACGCATGTTGATCTGTGCTCCATTTGTTTCCATAAACACTGATCCCTTGATTTACCTGTGAATGGAAAAAAATAGTATAAACATAAACACCAGGAAATCTTATTCACAAATGAAATTCTATCAACAATCTGAATTAGTGAATGAAAGGAGATCTTATTCATAATTGAACTTCTATTAGGAGTGTCAAAGCTGAAGTGCAGCTGCAAGTAAACCAAAGGCAGACATTTTAGAGGTTCTTCCGCCCACCCAATCAAACATAGGGAATCTGGCTAATCAACCCTCAATTCTAAAAGTGTTGTCAAGCAATGAGTTCTATTGTGTAATGGCAACACCCTGCACATAAGTGGCAGTAAGCAACAATGAGAAGTGAGAACTATTTAAGAGCAATGCTATGCACAACCTGCAATGTATACTATAATGGAGAGTGAACAAAAAGATGGAACCAGAGGATAACAGACCAACAAGAAACTTTTCGTAGACCTACTAAAACTCCTAAACCAGTAGATGTAGATTAAATAGAGGTAAACCAATCATATTTTTTTTAAACTCAGTTCCACAGAACATTCATTTTCTTAACAAAATGCAATACTCATCAGAAAGCTAGTCCATATTATGGCTAAAATATATGACAGCAGAAAAAAGAACCTGAGGTCAAAACCTATTTTCAAATATCAGGCCGGCTTCATGGAAGACCTTCAGAACTTCTAGCAAGCCATTTCAGGTTTTTGGAGTGCCTCATGCACTCTAAGTAACATAAAAAGATAAAAAAGAGCATAAACAAAACCTCTATTTATGCAGCCCCAAGCGCTTTGGCATAGTGGTTAGACTACAACGTCTGATGTGTAGGTTAGTCGCACGTCACGGGTTCAAACACTGCCACAGAACAAAAGCACGGTGTTTAAGTGGAGGAGGGTAGAGGAGTTGGCTCATTATCTATCGAGATCCAGTGTGTCACTAGCCCTTGGAGATTTCTCGGTTATCAAAAAAAGATTCTCTATTTTTGTTAAGGAAAAAAAATAGAAATTAGATGCATAATCACCTTTGAAATAACAATAACAAGTGTTGAATCCAGCTCAGGGCCAAGTTGCGTAATTTGGTGATCAATGCCAGTTGGATCTGTGTTATCGATAAATCTTATCTGCGAAGAGATGATAAAGCATGGTATAGATAGAGAGAGAGTGATGTGAGAGAGATGCTAACTTCTAATTTAGAAACTATATTATCACATGAAATGATTTGGTAATCTGATGTCATCAACTGTAATGTTTGTAATTAGATTTACTTCGAAGGATCAGTTCATATACTTCTACCTTTGATAGCACACCAACCAATTTAAGTAAATGAGGCAAACCTGTTCACTAGAATTTGCATTTTAGAAAGCCTCAACCCCGAGAATTAAGAATTTTTTCTAGGATAACAGATAAATCATTTTGAAAAACAATACAACAAAATTTGCATGCCAAGAGAACATAAAGCAAGTTCTTGTACACGTATATAATACAAATAAGAATAGCATCATACCCTGATAGAGTCAAATGAACATGTTTTGAGTCCACAGGGGGCTCCATCGAGATGATTAGTTCATCTAGATCCATTTTTGTGACTCACCTGCAATGTGGAAACAAAGATAGCTTATGTAGCATGTATGTCCATCAATTAGTCAACCAACTCCTAGCTAGTTCTGTAAAATGTTCAGTCTCAATTGTTTTTCTCCAATATGAAGTAGAAATAATCTGTACTGTAATCCTAAAACCAAAAAAGAAAGCTGAATATCACACAGTTATGAATTAATATTTGTATAATATAAACTCTAGTGACTGCACTCAGTGGAAGTGTATATCTCTATAAATAATCAGTATGAGTAAGCTATTGATGTCTGCATTTTCATCAGTAATTGGTTCAAATGTTTGCATTTAGTTCACCATTACAGTAACTAAGATCATCCTTGCCACAAAATAATCATTTGTATTAGTAACACCTTACACAACATATCGCATATGCATAGTCTCATTTTGCAAATTTGTTCAATTAAACTCACTGCATCATCAAGAATTGTCCAACATTTTAGTTATTTTCAATGACACAATTCAAATGTCTAAATGAAATTTACTTGACGATTTTAAGGAAGGGAACTTGTATTCTGCCTTGAATGTATCCTTTAATAAATGTGATGACCCAACTCTTGTTTTCTCAGGCTAAAACCCAAATACTTCATTAATAGAACTTTAGAACAAGTCCTTTGGAAGGTTATAGTCCAACATCTAAACTTTGCAAGAGCTGTTGTCCCATAAAATTATAGTCCAAGTGGACAAAGAGTATAAAATTCAACCAGAGTTTAAATTATGCTTTAATTATCTGATTGGGCCTTACATACTTTATTTATTGTGTGAAAAAAATTAACATACAACGGTACCAAGAGTGTGATCAAAGTTATCAATGAAGTGGATCAAGAATCATGAGGTCTCAAGTTCAAATGTCAACAGAGATAAAAACACTAGATAATTTCTTTCTCATCTGTTCTATCATTGGTAAGCAGAGTTACATGGTATATGTTACTGGTAGAAAATGATAGTATTCCTTGGAATTAGTCGAAGTATATAAGGAATTTTTGGTCTACAAGAGCTGGTACTCAACATGGTAGAAACAGGAAATTGTATTGCATATTCAATTCTAAAGCAAGCATTAAGCTACAGATTTGGGTTTGAAGGGACCCAAATCTGATCAGAACAAGGATGACTATCACATGAAAAATGTGCATAATCTCAAACATCAAACAATGTCACTTATTGTGCATACAAACTCTTTCCAATGGAAAATAGAAAGAAAGATATACCTTCAATTGCTCTGTATCATTCAGAATTTTGATTGAAGAATCCGTATGATTTTGAGATGAAGCAACATTATTTCTGTCTCTAGGAATTGGGAAGTTGCTTACAATACTAGCTGTTATAATTAGCTGCAAAATTAGAACCAAAAGAAGTAGTTTTATTATACATATGAAAAATACAGAACTACAAAAGTAAAACCACAATATGACTGTATGAAAATGGACATTATATCATCCATACCTCTGTTAATGAGCTAGTAGAAAATGAAATTCCAATGAAAAACCAATCTCCTAGAAGTTTATCATACCATAATAGACTACAATCTATTCGGAAACTATAATCAAATGGCATAAAGATATATAATAAATAAAGTTCACTATTTATTACCCCAATAGCAACAAGTTCATAGCCCAAAAAACAGAATATTAATTACAGCATATGGAAACCAGTGCTAGATGCAAAAAGAAATAAAGCACATCAATAAAATCTGAAATATTACCAGAATTTATGATCTAGAATGCGACGTAAGAAAGATTTGAATTCATCTAAATCGTTCATTTCCAACAAAGGTCCATCTGATGGTTCCAGGTCAACCAGAGGCAATAAAAAATGATTATCAAATTGAGTAAGTAGATGCCTAAACTATAGATAACAAGGTAAAATTCCTAAAGATAATAAATACGCAGAGCATAGACAAAGGTAAAATAGTTTCTGATCCACCTATATTACACATGACGAATACTTTTATCTAAGAAAATACTAGTAAAGTTTTAAGAATTCATACCTCCATTGGTTGAGCTATACAAAATCTTCTCCTTCCTAAAACTAAGAAAGAGCAGAGATTTAATTGATCAATAGACTAGTCAGGTGATCTATACAAATCATTGATCTATTCAAGACAGAGAAAACTGTTGTGAATCTGAAATATAAATAACAGAGGAAATGTAAATGTGAAATATAAATACCATATATAGTTCTTAATTCTTGCATCTATCAGAGGAGTAGATATTTACTCTTTTTCTTTATATTTTAAATTTTATGTCTGACAGCTGAAGCACCAACAACTGATTGTTGATGTTGGAGCTTTGCCTCATCTTGCTAATCTGCTGAAGAGGGAAAAAGATGCTTAGAACTCTCGAGCAGTCAATGGTGTCATTCAATGGGCAGCTGATGCAGTCACAAATCTTGTTCATGAAAACAGTAGCATCAAAACTCATATTAAGTTAGTTTATTTGTATCTAAAAACATTGTAATTGTATAATCAGCGAAAAATGGAAATAGAGAAAAATGAAAGAAGAACTAGGCTTCAAGATTGTAAAGCAATGTAATTGTTCTTGATCTGGTATTTGATCATGAAAGCAATCAGGGGTCCACAAAGACTAGCCCATACTCTTTGTGTTCCGTTTCATCATCGATATCACTCTGGTACATAAAATGGAAACTGGAAGATTTATTCCTATTCAGAAGTGCTTCTGAGGGCAGAGCGAGCAGTAAAGATCAATTAAACAAGTTGTTAAAGAAAACGCGCGAGCAGGAGGAGGACGCGAAGACTTCAAGCTTCAGATCAACTTCTAGCAGTGTTGCATCATCATCAGTATCAACCTCCTTTATGAGAAGGAGGAGGTAGATTTAGGCTCATGAATTGCATTACACGTTGAATAGGCCATTCTCCGAAGAGATGAAGAGGAAAACATTTTTGCCATACAAGAAATTAGGGGTACTAGGTTGCTTAGGATTCATTCCATCAATGGATGATACAAGTTTTAGAGGTGTTGCCCCTTCTATGTCCATGAATCGTCATCAATTTAATCTCAGCATCTCTATGTGAAATATTTTCTTCAATTTGTTATTGTACCACTGTATATCGTAGTTTATATGAGGACATAAAACATTTATGACCTGGAATGTTCTTGCAAGAATTAAATCTATTTGTACAATATTGTTTTTGAGATATATATCTATGTGTGGAACATGTTAGCGTGAGGAAACGATGAAAAACACAATAATTAACATGCTACATAATAATATCTGCATCAGATTAAAGAAGAGGAAAAACTTTCACTATTCTTACATGTTAATGAAGTTATATAGATATTTGCATGTTAAGCATAAACAAAAGAATCAAATTAAAAGTAAATTGGAGGGTGGGAGAAGAACAAAATATCCCCACAATCCTCTAACAGTTAGGATGAGGAATAGTCAATAATCTATCTACTTATGCTATTCTAATTCCTGAATTTGCTATAGTTGGGAGCTCCACAATGACAAGGGACTTTAGCCTCATCATTCTGATGAGGTTCAAATCTATAATCAAAGGTTCACTCATTCCCTGCTGAAACATCCTTTTTAGCAAAAGGAACGATACGATCCTCATTTTCTCCAAGACTTATGATCCTTGAAAAGCAATTTGGCATGCATGAGTGGTTGATTAATAGACTACAATCTATTCTAAAATTGTAATGAACAGACATAAAGATAGTCAATAAACAAAGTTCGTTATTTATTACTTATACTAAGCACAAATAATCTAAAAGCCAACAAAATCAAGCACAAACAAACTCAATCTAAAGCACCACTCCAGAATGCCTGACCAATTTAAATGCACACCGAGTTTATACTATATGTAATATATCGAAATTGAAATTCATAAAAAATGAAGGTAATTTAAACCTAAAATTGCGTCAAACATTTAAAAATGCATAAAATGAAGAGATAGTCATATAAATTATAATTTTTTTAATACCATCGACGTGGAGAGATTGATGAACAAGAAGAAGGCTGGCCTATATGATCCATGTGACTAAATCTATCTTTGCTTCCACATCCTTAATCCACTCTGGTATATATTCAAACTTTTCCAAATGATGCTAGTTTTCTTTAAACGATCTCTCAAGTTTTTCGGATGAAGACGAAGAGCGATTAGGAAAATCACCACATATCTGAGGTGAAGGAGTGACAAGGAGCTTTGTTGAGTGGCCATGTTGATTTTTTTTGGTCAAAATGAGAAGAAGAGGGCAGGTTTTAGGGTTTCATTTCTTAGATGGTGATTTGGGCAAAGTGACAGAGCTCTTTAGGTTAGATATATTAGTAGTGAAAGTGTTTTTATTTTTTAGAGTTGAATTGTGTTTTTATTTTTAAAGAAGGTTTTTTTGTTTTTTGGATAATTAGAAATTGGAGGGAGAGTTAAATATGTTGGAGGGAAAATAATATTTTAGTAAAATATTTAGGGAAACTACAAGGTCACAATTGTTAAGTGTTGTTTTAGATTTACATAAATAGCACACTTTAAAACTGTAGTTATATGTGTAAATAGGTGCTGCCAATTATATCATTATATGGCAATGCTTAAAAGGTGTTGCCTATACCACTAAAGAGCACGCTTTAGAAGTGTTGCCAATATTATTGTGGCCAAAAGCAAAAAACTATGGCTACGCTTCAAAAGTGTACCCAAAAATATTTTAGGCAACACTTTATAAATGTTGCCCAGATTTAGTGTAGGCTTAGGCCTAAAATGGTGTAGTGAACTTTTCTCAGACAGTACTCATGTTCAACTATTTAGACACCAACTTGCTATGGACCATGCTATGAGTAATTGCAATGGTAAGATATGGCTATTTTGGAATTTGGATGTTGACTGCAAAGTACTTGACGAGGATGAACAGCAAGTGACTTGTGAAATTGCTCATAATGAGTTGCAAACTAAGTTCAATACCACAATTATTTATGCCAAGTGCAAGGACCAGCTTAGAAGACCTCTCTGGGATAGAATGCTACATCAGGCTAATGCTACAACCAATACTCCCTGGTGTGCAGTAGGTGACTACAATGTTATCACTTCCATGGATGAGAAGCTTGGTGGAATGCCTTACAACATGAGGAAAAGTTTGGAATTCATAGCTGTCATTGAAGCTTGTGGCCTGATGGATCTCGGTTTCAGTGGTCAGAAATTTACATGGTCCAACAAAAAAGGTATACACAACAGGGTGTGGAAACGATTAGATAGAGCAATGGTAAATGACTCGTGGCTGGAGAAAATGCCTCAAACCACCATCACCCACCTCCTTTCTGTAGGCTCTGATCATTGTCCCTTACTGATGGAAATGATTGCTAGAGAGGAGGATCATATTCAGTACTTTAAAATTTCTCAACTGCTGGACAGATCAACCCAATTTCATTGTTATTGTTAAGACTTATTGGGAAAGACCTATAAAGGGTAACAATATGTGGAGGTTTCATCAGAAATTGAAGAGGTTATCCAACACTCTTAGCTCTTGGTCTAGGGGGGAATTTGGTGATATTTTCATTAAAGTCAAGGAATATGAAGAGAGAGTCAGAGCTGCTGCGGAGAACCTCATTCATACACACAATGAGATCAACAGGACAAACCTTCATGAACTTAATGTTGAATACATCAGATTTCTGAAAATGGAGGATTCCATTTTGAAACAAAAAACTCAATTACATTGGTTCAAAGAGGGTGATGCAAACACAAAATATTTCCATTCACTGATAAGAGGAAGGAGAAGAAGACTGTTTATTCATAAAATTATCAGAGAGGATGGAGAAGGAATACATGGAGAGGATAACATTGTCGAGGCTGCTTGTGCCCACTTCCAAAATATCTTTACAGGAGTGGACAAGGTTATCAATGAAAATGCCATCAGTTGTATTCCCAGAATGGTCAGTCAAGAACACAATAATACCCTTACTACCATGCCTAACCTGGAAGAATTGAAGGAAGTGGTTTTCTCTATGAATCCTAATTCTGCAGCTGGTCCGGATGGGATGAATGGTTTATTTTTTCAGAAATGTTGGCATAT